GGAGGTTTGTGTCCAAGCTGGGCGACCAGCGGAATGTGGTCAGCCTGGTTCTTATTATGGATTCTTTAGTAGGCTCAAGGGCCGGGAGGGAGGGGGAGAGTTCCACCTCCAAGACCCGGCCTTTGCGCGGCGACACAATAATAAAAATGGCATTTTCGGGAAGTGAGAGACAAAACGCGCTACATAAGGTCACTTGCTCGCGTGTATGTCAACCCGCGGACGCATGGGTGGGTTTGTAGCGCTATGTAGGTTGCTCGAGATACGTGTGGGCCTGTAGATCATGCGGCAAAAATTAATTGTGGGAAGAGTTCAGGTGATGGCGGGTGCCACAGCAACGGAATGTGTACATAATAAATTCGTTTTTCGCCAAGTACAACGACCTGTTGGGAGCTGGTGGTGAAGCCCTGGATGGAAGTGGAGTATGGACAATGCAAGGCTCATTCATTCCAGACAAGGTTACTAAGGCACTTGAACCGGAAGATGCAAGGGATGGGCTGTCTTTGGATGAACCTTCTGATGATGTCCCAAGATGTTGGCTTTGACTTGAATCCTGCACAACAGGTTGCATTTCGGAGTTTGTGGCTGAGGTGCCAGCGCATATGTGGCATGCGCACTTCAACCGCCGTGAAAGTTGGAGCTTAGGTTTGGCGGGATGGATTGTAAAAGAAAATGGCTCCCCTTCTCTGTGGTTCTTTTGGGATCTAGGGAGGAGACAGTTGATCTATTTCTGAAGGTTATTGGAACCGGATTCACCGCCAGTCTTTCTTGCAGAAAGAGGTGGGCATTGAGTTCGGGAAAAGTGAAGTGCTGTTAGCACGGTCTTGCGTCGAGCATTCAGCAATCGAGTTAATTTTATGGTGTAGTCTAGAGGTTGAAACAGAAAATTGAAGCGTGAATTCAACGGTGAATTACGAGAACGATGCTTTTTTTTTTTTTTGGAGGAAATCGGCGAAGCCTTAGTCTACATAAGTGACCCTTGGTGGGTTTTGTGGGGAGACCGAATGAAACGGGATAAGCACGTTATGCAGTAGACTACACCGTAACTAAGTGAATAGATTGAGCGTTCGTTTTGGCACTTTCTCAAGATTCTCGGATGTCCTGTCGGCGGTGTAGGTTGGGTGCTCTATGACACACCGGAGTTGGGATTGCACTGCATGTTTTACCCGCGAAGGTTCCAGCTTTCCTGGAGGATCAAGAACGACAAAGGATCGAATGTCACGTCACGTTTGATATTTTATTACAGCATCAAACGTAATCTAAGGCCAAGAGAAAGTTTTTGACAGCCCACCCAACCTGTCGGTTCCTGAGAAAGTCGTTAATAGTCTACACAGACGGCTCTATACGTCGAGTATTTCCAAGAGGAAGTCGGCGCCCTCTTCGACAAAGTCGCCCAGGACTCCGGTCATGAGAAGGACCACCGGCTGCTGTAGGGTAGCTTCAACCACGAGGGCCAAGACACAGGTTGTGAGCCAGTCGGTAGACGTAGGTCTGGCCAGGAGTATTTTGCAGCACGGAAAAAAGGACAAATCGGTGGGTCGATACTCAGCGCACATGAACTATTGCAGCGGGCCAACCTTCAACGCAGGGTAAAACATGCTGTGGGGATTCTGGAGGATGCGCTTTGTATACCTCTGATGTACAACTTTTTTTTCTGTCGAGCAATTGCCGAATATCCCGCAAGACTACTTGATGACTGCAAACAAGCAAATTGGGGTATCTTTCGCGCATCTACTCCATGCTCCACTTTGGTGGTGGTTTCAACGATCTCCCGTTGGGAACTTCCGTTGCTTCCGTCGCAGCTTCCGTGGCATTTTCCACGACTTTCCACAGACGTTGATGTTAGATTACTGCCTGGCAAAAGATTCGATGGAACAGTCTAGCCATGCTTACATTAATCCGGTATGCTTCCATCGCAGGTTTTATTGCGTTCGAATACCAGGTCCGTCACAGGTTGTTGTGTCCCGGCGGCTGCGCGAATTGATGCCATCAAACCGGGTAGACGCTCTATCTCCATTTACACCCCGCCAAATTCAGCTACTCAGCTACAGAAATTTCAATTTTCATCGCGCGGCCTTTTCGAAAGGTTTTGATTTGAACGAAGTTGTCAGTCGAACAGCTTCACACTAGATGGGGCTTCCAATCTTACTCTGCAGTATCGCAGTCATGTTGGAGGAAATGAACGTTCATGCCGTCGAATCTCGTCATCGCACCACATTTCGCCACATTCGGCGCTTAGAGGAAAATCCAAAGGGGGCTGCAAGAAAATCAAATCACACTATAGTAGATATGGGACGTGAGCGTGTTGGGTTGCTGAATATTCGTCAAGCGCTGATGGAGCGGGTGTCCAGTAAAAAGTCCGGACGTCACGGTTTCAATTTATTGTCTATCCAACAAACCACCGGGGGCTTACCGGTCAAACTTGATCGCGAAGACGAGGTTGGTGTATGTAAGGCAAAGAATGACCACGTACACCACGGAGTTTACAAGCATGTGCATCACGGAACGTCTTCGCTTGCACTTGTTCAACCAGGTAGTGAACTCGACGATGCGGGCAGTCCTAGTCATGGCGCGGTGTATTCTGGTGAGGGTAGTACAGCCCAGGTTCAAAACAAGGTTGTCACCCACGGTTGATTCGATGAACGAGGTACAGTAGTGGTATGCAGAAAGGAGAAAACCCCTGGACAATCCAATGGAGAAACGGTGGCTCAAAGCCAGGAGGTGATTGATGTTTGACTTCCGAAAAACTTGGCGGATGCAAGCGCAGCATACTTATCCAATGTGTAGCCAACGAGATACCTTGCACATTGCATCGAGTGGGGCGCTTCACCTGTAAGCTTGCTGCACACGTAAGACCGCGGAATGCATGGAAGGCACCGGGTGCGACCACGCCGTGATTAGATCATCCTCACAGACCTTCCGCACCACCAGTTCGATTCTTCTGTGTACCCGCAAGAAGTACGCGCACACGAGAGTGCCCAGCCCCCCGAACACAGCGCCTACGGCGCCAGAAGAGAAAGAACAGAATCAAACCCAAAAATAGGCCTCCGACAACCATCGGCGGAATTGCACTACTTGGGGGCATCAGGTCAAAAGTAGTTTCTATGAGACGCCTGCAGAGGAAAAGATACATATCACACGCGCCAGAACTTCCACATATTAGAGAAGGAACAGAAAGCGAGACAGACAGAGAGAGAGAGAGAGAGAGAGGGAGGGAGGGAGGGAGAGAGAGAGAGAGAAACAGGGGCAACACGGCATGGAAAATTCAATGTGATTCATGTACCAAGTACCATTTTGCGTGCCTGATGCCAAACCCAGAAATATGCGCCAGAAACAGGTTGCATGTAGTCTCGGCGAAATGAAGGGCACTGCAATTCACCTGTGGCGAGACCAACGCTGGAACCATACAGAATCGCACCGCATAGCACTAGAGCAGGTGCGAGCACAGCTTGAAAAACCATTGCCTGAACATGTCCGAGCGGAAACGAGAGCGGCACATGGACGTCGTCCGAAAGATGAGTATCAGCTCCACTGCTCGATTCCTTAGTTGTCGCGACTTGCTTCCATGGGGTGGATGATCTCACTGGACAGATTAGTTCCCCATTGAGCACAGCACGTACACGAAGAGCGAAACAACACCAGAAAACCCTTTGAGAAGGCCTGATCATCGTGCTTCCCGTTACCTGAGACATGATCGTGACTCTGTGAGCTGCCACCCCGTAGGCTGAAACGGCGCACAGCAGGGTACATAAAATGCCCAGCGATGCCGTCACGTTGTGTAGTCGTGCGTTTTGATTTCCTCCAGGAGCCTTCTCTGCCTCGCCCATCACTCGGAACACCTGGTGGTTGTATGGCAAGAAACGGAACTGAAACCGTTTGCGAAAACTATTCTGCCGCAATAATAGTTTCATCTCCGGAAAGCGAGTAAACGGCGATGGCGTACCCACTGCTCGCTTGTGAATAGAAGAAACATAGTTTGAGAGACACGTACTACATGAAAAGCGAAAAGCGTCTGTTACTGCTCGAGGGCTACGCCGCACTATCATACATGTTTCCATGATGGTCGCCTCTTGTTTATGAGAGAGAGAGAGAGAGAGAGAGAGAGAGAGAGAGAGAGAGAGAGAGAGAGAGAGAGAGAGAGACAGGGAAGCAGGCAAGTCCCGACACCCCAAGGCGCGGAACGAGGCAACGCGAAGTGTGTCGGTAGGTCCGACAATCGACGTAAATAATGCAGGGTAAAGCTACTTTCAGTGACTGTTGTGTGCGACAACAAGGCGTCAATCCCATTTTTCAATCTTGGTTGCGTTGGCGCAAGAGGCGACGGCCCGTGCATCCTATGCATCCAGGCGGTGGTGGTGTGTCTTCTCACCGTGGGTATTAATATCGCCATAAACACCGGCAGGATCACGTACAGTGACACCAGCACTCTTTGCGACGCGACTAAATCTCTGTAGACGCCGGTCTTGTTGGTACCAACACCGCCGGTACAGTCAGCAACATGTGCTGTCGTTCGAGGAATGAGCCTCGATTTCTTCTTCACCCGAGATTTTTCCTCTCTGAAAGCAAGCGAGCAGCGACGTGTTAGTCTCAAGCCCAAGAAAACGCATGGCTCATGAATATCAATGGAATGCAGCACGTAGGCCGTCGCGTTTGCCCTCCTATCCCCAGGTTTGGCGTTGTCGAAGGTATAATATGTTCAGCTATTGCAGCCGGAAAAGCCCAACTGTTGGCAAGGTCTTCAAGTCAATTGGCGACACGACAACAACGCCAGCGATGTGGTGTTCTCAACGTTGCCCTGGAGTGGTCCCCGGGTGGAAAAAATGAACGGCGAACAGACCCCCACGGCGAATAGTATTCATTGATTTAATAGATGGTCGATCGCATTTTTCGCTATGAGTGCGTCCAAAAGCATTCCAATACTCACCTGTGGTCCAGTAACTGAAGTGGCAGCGAGATCGCGATGACGTTCCCCACCGCCGGCCCTCGCGTTGGGTTCTTTGGCTTAGCCCTCGCTTTGGAAGGCAAACGATGTGCGTGTCGGCAAGAGCCCGAGATGAAGAGTGGGACGGAACGAGTGGAAAGGTTGAAGGGTCCATCGCAGCCGCGCGGCAATCTGGTTTGTGGGGCTGCAGCAAAAAAAAGTTCCTCGGCAAACTGTGTTGCACGCCACAGCCAGCACGTTACGGGCAAGCAGGAGCCGACGCGCTCAAGTGCGACAGAACCCTGTTGGGTGGCTTAGGCAATGTTCAAGAATATCCTGGAGCAGGCAGGTACGGGATGGGCCTTGCCGACTCGGAGCTCACCATCTGAAAGCGCGGCGTGGAACTCCTCACGTTGCGCCTTTACGAGCCGGTCGCGCTGACTCATGAGTTGTTTATTACCTCCTTGCGGTTGTTGCTTGTGCGCTGTTTTGTGCTTCCTGACTCGAGTCAGGGTCTCTGATGAAGGTGGGGTGTTGGCCAATCTCATCATGGCTGGGAACACCAGAGCTGTTGGGATCATAAAGAGCGCGGTGGCAGCCGTCATTTCCGCCTGATGGAGTGTTGAGAGAGGGGGGCATATTCCCTTCCTGTGAGCTTGTAGCTTGTTAAGCGTGCTCTATCATAGGGGATTCGCGAAAGTTGAAGGCGGTAATTCAACGCTTGACGCCAAGGCTTTGTCTTTCAGCCCGCCCCAGGTGACACACTTCGCACCGACTCTTGTCACTGGGGGCATCATTTCCGGTGGCATGGTTCACCACGTCATCGACGGTACATGGTATGCAAATTTGGAAACCGTGGCGCAACAGCACCGTATGGTTGGCAGGTTTAAAGTGTCGACCTCTCGGTTCCACACCAAACAGACGCAGGCAGCCACTCGAGGCAATCAAGAACAGGGAAAGCAAGTTTCTCTATCCTCTGCATTCCTAGGGTGATGAGCAATGAATCAAGGTTTCATTGCACTTGTGTGTACCCGAAACCTCGAAAAAATATACAAAGATGTGATGGCTTTAGCACGAAAGAAAATTACCTTTTCCCGAATGCTGAATTGACTCTTGCCGTAGAATATTGCTTGGAGAGTCACCGCGCTCATCCAATCAGCTAAGAGTATGACGAGATGTTGAGACCTGGGGGACGAAGTTGAGGTGATCTCAGCAAGTGCAAGTCAACCTCAAGGTGACCGGTAGCCGGCCTGGAGCACAAGGTCTATTATCTATTTTCGGAATTATACCAGCAGAGAAGCTTCACGACTACAGTACCGCTGGGTTCATTTAAGATTGATTCAAATATCAATGTGATGGGTAAAAAACTACTAGAGTTGGAGGTGGAATAGTTTTTTGTGGTGGTTGCACAAAAGTACCTGCAGTAGGCTCGTGCGTCTGTTACAGAAGAACGGGGGCCGGTCTATCATCACCAGCTAGAGAGGGGGGTGGTATCCATCATCATTCGCTAGAGGGGGGGGTGGTGTCCATCATCAGCTAGCGAGGGGGGTGGTATCCATCGTCACCAGCTAGAGAGGGAGGGAGGTGCTATCCATCGTCATCAGCTAGGGAGGAAGGAATAAACGTTGAAAAATTCCCCGACTGCTGCTGCTGCTGCTGTTGCTGATTGTTTGAACAGGACGCTTCCGCCACCGCTTTAGATAACAGCAACAGCAGCAGCAGCAGAGGCGACACACCCTCTCGCCCACAATGAGTGTAGAGAGGTGCACAGCACAGCAGTGGTACTACATCGTCTAGGAACGAGCGTGATGTGTTACTGGTCCCGTGCTGTGATGTATGTGTGCCTCTCTCCAGAGCAGAGTCAGAGGCCGCTCCCTCCCGCCGCGTCGCAACACAATAACAACAACCAACCGATGGACCCACAGAGACCCAATCAATATCTCTCCTCTCGCTTCCTCCGCCGAAAGCTAGCAGCAGCAGTAGTATAGGGCACACCCTGCTCCCGTCCCGCTCTCGCTGTGTGGTGTGTGCAACACACGCTGGTTGGTGGGACTCTCTCCAGAGAAAAGGCGAATAGGCCGGCAGCGTTGAACAACAACAACCAACGGAAACAACAACAACGACATCATCAGCGATAAACCCCAGACCAACCAAACGTTCCCCGCTTCCTCCGCCGTCGCTAACAGCAGTATGTGTGTGTGTCCCGCCCCCCTTGTCCATGTTCCCTGTCTCTGTGTAGTGCGTGTCTTGCCAGTAGCAGCAGCAGTGTGTGCAGCACGGCAGTGCTTCGTGGTTTCTTGCGTGCGTGTAGTTGGTTGCCCAAAAAAAAAACAAAAATGACGCCTCCCGGGGATGCGTCCATGGGACATATATATTTGCACAAACGGTGTGCTATCTCGAGACACCGACCACGGATTGCAAAGGTAGCGGTTGGGACAGCTCGGGCAAAATGTTACTTGTTGTGCGCAAGTATAAGTTTGCAATTTGGTGCCGAGATGGTGGAATGGGCTCGAGCCTGCTGGGTATTTAGGGCGCGCAGACACCAGACAGACAGACAGACAGACAGACAGCCATCGCGTAATTTTCACGCCCCTGTGCATGAAAATTATTCTTTTTCTCGTGCGCACATACTCCACACACAATCCCTCTAAACAGCTGTTTTCNGTAGCGGTTGGGACAGCTCGGGCAAAATGTTACTTGTTGTGCGCAAGTATAAGTTTGCAATTTGGTGCCGAGATGGTGGAATGGGCTCGAGCCTGCTGGGTATTTAGGGCGCGCAGACACCAGACAGACAGACAGACAGACAGACAGCCATCGCGTAATTTTCACGCCCCTGTGCATGAAAATTATTCTTTTTCTCGTGCGCACATACTCCACACACAATCCCTCTAAACAGCTGTTTTCTTGCAAAACAAAAAGCGTACCCCTAAACGGGCCACACTTTTCGCAAAAAAAAAAACTATTACAACAACCGATACATTGATCTACCTCGTGAGAAGGGTTTTCTTGAAGTGCTCGGTTGGCGAGACCCACAGATGTCGCCAGGCGTGGTTCATGAATATGCTGCTCACGGCGGCCTGACGTCTCGAGCATTCACCATACGGGGGGCAAATGGAGCTCTCTCAATCGAGGCTCGGCGTGGAACAGATTGCGCATCGTAGATCGGGAGCTGCGATTTTTCCTTGAACCACGTTGAGTAGTACACCCGTCGAGTAATGGCCGCGTAAGCCAAGGTTCCATGTTCCAAAAGGACACGATCACGAATTCCATGTAGGTGTTCTCACCGTAGTCAAATGGTCCTTTCTCTTCGAGGCTGCTATCGTATGGATCTGGAGGTAGCCGCTTTCTAGTTGGTTGCTGTTGTTCACATCTTTGTGTGCCTCCCGCGATTTTTCCCGTATCTGTCAAATTACGGCGAACGACGGAAAGATACTTCGTGCCTGTAGATGGTTCGTTTCAGACAGTATCACGGCCGAAAAAGCGAAAAAGACGGTTGTAGCGCTCATACGAGCACCTTGCGCTATGTTTATCAACACGATTCTCCCTAGGATGGGCCTGAATCCCGCCCATGTATTGAAAGGACAGACCTTGATCAGAAACTCCGTTGGTTCAATTGCAGAGAAGTATGCAATCCCGAGGGAAACTCTTTGTGCAGAGTGAATAGAAAATGTTCGGTCCCGATTCGTCACGCCATTCCACTGATCTTGGACAAATCATATCCGGTGCTATGTATGCTTATCCGAATATATGCCGGCACAGCCAGCCCGCCAAGAATGCCCACATAGAGATTTTGGTCGTAGCCGCGTGCTTGTGAAGCGTTGAGCTCGTGCAAACTACCTCTTTAGTCCGAGAGTGGTAGCAGACGCGGACCACTTCTGCCTCAAGGCTCGTCTACCCGAACGACTTACCAGGGATTGCACCGGTTGGTCCTCGCGAGAACACCTACCCCGATCCAGGTATGAGTGTCGAAGGATAGCGAGGTACTCGTTGTCTACACCACCCTCGATGTCCTGAGACGGGAAGACAGATACGAGAACGCACGCAACGGTTTTCTTTAGGAAGGGAGCTATATCAAAGCAGAGTGCTCATTGTTCCTTGGTTCTACGGGCCTCCCAATTCGTGATACGCGGTAGGAATCCTGAAATATTGGCATGACGATGTACCGATGCGTAGACCGTTAAACCGGGCGTACACGTTCTGTGTTGAAGATACCATGCATCATGATGATACCTAACCGCTTCTACGCCAAGGCGCATATGTTGACGAGAAGTTGAGCAACCACGTCAACTGTCGAAAACCGTTGATACACAGACGTAATTGAAGGCACGAAAGCTGGCGACTATTCCTCAGACATTTTCCCGCCCACTGCTATGGGTAGGAGCTCAATGGAGATCCAACCCAAGCGCTGCCTGATGGCATTCCGAGGTCGCTTTCGGTTGAGCCCAAGACCGCATTATCGCCTCTTCCTTAAGATAATAGTGAAACCAAGTCCAAATTCTCAAGTGCAAGGAAAATCTGTGTCAAGGGATATCGACAAACATCAGACTGGATTGACCCCCTCGTTGAGTATCGGCTTTCCAGTCCTACCTTCCAATGTAGCAACGCAGAGGGCGCCAGAAAAAGAACCACCACTAGGCCGAGGAACAGAATGGCCGACCAGCTTTCAGCCCAGTACTATTGGTTTCCAGGAATGAAAGTGTAAGCAAGAAAGGGGCGTCGTCGAGTGCATGTTTCTGCCCAGAAATGCAAACCAAGCTGTGCGAAGTATTCCTGTGAAAATTGCTCCCACTCAAAGGCCTGCTTTGAACAGCAACATCGCCCTCGAGCCCCATTCCGGACTCTCCAAGCCTTCCAAGCTCTCTTCGTGGTGATCGCGTTTGTCTACTCGCTTTTCATGAGTCCATCTCGTGACACGCGTGTCTGCGTAGGTTCGATGCTACATAGAATAGAAGCGAATCCGGTTGAATAAAGCAAGGACACACGAACCGGCCTTCAATAGGTAAGGGGAGCACCCACGGCTCGAATGGAGTCGTTTTCGCTACCGTCTGACGGCGTGAATAAATCGAATGTCTGCGCTCTCTGTAGAAAAAAGGGTCCCGCGCCAAAGCCCGCCTAAGCCCGCCATACCTGTCGTAGAACATTGGTGTCTGTTAGCTGGTCGGCGGTAATCCACTGGATTGATGGGCTTTGTTCTTCTGCTATTCCGAAAGGACTCAGGTGAAAGGTCCAGCAGGTTGTCGAGGAGGTTCCGTCGACTTCAACCGTAGAGTGTCCTAGCACGATGCCGTCGACCTCCCACTCGTTGCTTTTTTCGGACCAATACACACAAGTCGGCGCAACGCCATCTGGTGCCGATCGTGGTAGCACAACCTGCGGCGATATTGCAGCCCACACGACGTAACCTGCATGACACTGGAAACATAGAACTGTGAAAAGTAGCATCGCCCACCCCCAGGCTGCTAGCAGCACGATGCCGAGAGGGGTTGACTCCTGTCTAGCTATCGTTGAAGGGTCTCCGACGCCAGTCTGATGTCACGTGATGCAACAAACGTCCTGCATCCGCGAAAGACGCTCCCCAATGTTCATCCACTTCTCTGGCACTCACGATGGACTGCGGCATGCTTACCTCAGTGGGAACAGAGAACTTCACAGGGAAGGACAAGCCGTGCATATCGTTGCCGTGTGCATCCCACGCGTTGATTGCTGTGATGCCATCTGGCTCTGTGAACGATCCAGACAAAAAACATCAAGAGATCGCGCGACATCCCCATACCAGCGCTATGAAACATTCACGTATGGGATATTATCACTGCGGAAATTTCACATTTATACTTTGGGACACATATTGCCCCACGCGCACAGCGATGCCTATCATATTTTGTCACCGCCTCACGCTTGGCCCAACCATCAAAAAACGAGTGCTCCCAACAGGACGAAAACACACCTTCCGATTCGGAGGTGTTTAGCAATGTCACTGCCACAACGAACGTGGAATTGTCTTGGACGCCAGCCGGTGCCATCCAGTCCTCAAAAGATACTTGTGCTCCATCCTCGCCAATAGAGATAATAGCCTCGTGAATCGAGGACTCGGCCACCTTAGCTGCCTGCCCCAATCGTGTAAATGAATCGAGTCGTGCATGAGGTTTGGTGAAATGAACAAGAAACCAAGCGCATGTAGGCGACGTATGTATGGGTATTGAGACCAGGACATGAGCAAGATTGGCAAAGTCGCAGTCGTGGAGAGTAAAAGGCAACCCACCTTCAGATGGACAGAGCCAGTACTGACGTCGTCGATATCTTCACCGGCCTCGGATCCGATAGCCACAGCACGTCCAAGGCTGCCGAGAAGTTCCAGGACGTCATGTCTGCCGGAGTAGTAGCCACCACCTTGAGTGGCCGTCGATGATGGGTCACTTTCGTGCAGGAGAACAGACACCGTCTACGAACGGGAGTGGTACAAACAAACGCAAAGTGCACGGGTGAACATCGCGTTTGATTGTTACGGAGGCATCATGGGGCAAGGAAAAAACACTTCCAAGATTCTTGTCACTTGTTGCGCAGAACATGAACTACGTACCATGGTGGTGGAACCTACAGCCTGGGAGCAATGGAACAGAACCCATTTATGGGGATGGATTGCACATGATCAATCGACCTGACACGAACAAACGCTTTAATATCTCTCAACTTTTGCATTTCGAATAATGATTTTAGGGTAGGTAGCGGCCTACGCGTGTCTAGCGGAACGGAAACCAAGCGAAATTTCCTTTGTGGAGTGAAGAGTGACAGCTCCGAAAAATTCCCACGCGGAAAGTGCACATATTCTTGTATTGTGGAGGCAGATTTTTGACGATAGAGATAACTCGACTACCTGCGAGAGAATGCACCAGATGCTGCGAAAAATGTCAGATCTGCCCTGGTGTAAGATTGATGCGCCGTCCCCAACATGAAGACGTTGTCTCACACGTGGTGAATCGGTTGGCTCCGATAAATGGGCGTGAAAGCATATTCATGAGCGGGTTATAGCATGAGGTCGATACAACAAAATAGCGTTTCCCTCAGCGGCATTTGCAGGCGAAGCTCCACACCTGTAAAAGTGGAACTGCTGGGCCAGACTCTAGCACTTGTCCGTCCACCGTCGACACATTCAGCATATCCTCTAGCGCACCCGACACTTCGGTTGCCGTTGTATTGCTCAATTTTCCACTCTCCTGGTGAATGCCAATACGAAATGTCAGCACAAAGAATGACAGATGTCGTCTTCAAATGGAACGGACAACCTTGCTTGGCGGGCGGTGTTGCCTGTTGTTGCTGTTGAAAGCATGACCACAAACCCGTTCTTTTCCTCAAACTTGACGCCGTCCTTCTGTCGCAGGTCGTCCCTCCGATGTACCGTTGATACCCGATTGAAAATCACGCTCTGCTCTTGGCATGTGTCTTGCTTTTCGGCGCTCCTACGAGAGGTGTAAATAACGATGCAGATGGCTCTTGGAAGTGGCTGTTTTCGTTACCTCTAATGTATACTCTTAAGAAAAAAATGCGTCATTCCCTCTCACCGCATGTGATATGACTGCTGCCGCCAACGCCTCTGCTCCTATCTGAGCTGCTCCAGAACTCGGATCTAATGCAAGGTAAGACCCTACTATGAAAGTGACAATGGCTTCCTGGCAGGCGAGGCGTTTGAACGAGGCGAATCTTGCTGTGAGTCACATACATTTGTTCTCTCAACGAAACCGTTCTTTTGAGTCGACATCTGCTAGTGACAATTAAAAAGACATCCGACACGCCCCAACCATACTCAGTCGTCGCGTGAATGCGCGGCTGTACAAAGTTTGTTAAGCGGACATCGATGGCGTATTGTTCAGTCTTCTGACTTAGTTCGGTCTTGTCTGCGATGTTCTCCTTGCAACACAGTTACAGGCGTCCCTACAGGCTTGGGCCTTCAGCGTCAGCATTGCTTGCTTTTAGCGTCTCCCACAAGGAGGCATTCGCGAATGGTCCTTTCCCCGTGTACAGATCTGGGCAACCACGTTTCCAACGAGTCAAAAGTTATTACGTGCCTCTATTGTCACCAACAACCAGACCTCCAGAACATCTTCGCCAGCGGTTTTCCCGTGCCATTTTCGTACCCATCATGTGCAGGAAAACTTGAGTTGCATTCCTTTCTGAGAACTTATCGCCAGGGCGTACGCCCAGAACTGGAGAATTTCGGTTCTTAGCGGAGTTATGTCGTAGCTCGATCAAATATGGTACCAATCAACGACTGGCGTCGTCACCTTCAGCTTCAACATTTCGCCGATTTCGTCCACCGTTTCCGGCTCAGGCGCGTGTCCCAGAACAGCCGAAAGTGCAATCGCGCTTCTTAGCGCGTCAGCAGGGTCAGTCAACGACCTCATTCCGGTTGAAAGCGACGAAAGGTTGACCCATAGAGAAGGAATAATGACCTGCTGGTACCATCAATACGTAATGAAGAGAGTCATGGTGGTCTTGTTTTATTGGCAAACACCTAGGAGGTTTCCCCGGCTTCAGAACAAAATTCCTCGGGCGGACATGCGGTTGGCCAGACATCTTTGCAACCCACCAGGAACGGCAGCGGTTTACCGTCCAATAAATTGCTTTGCCCTACTTGTTGTCGGCTGACCAGACGCCCATCAATGGCAAATTTTACATGGAAGCATCAGAGCTCCTGCCCCCCCCCTGACAGACACGAACAACCAAGAACCACACCTGCTCCGGGGGATATGAGACAATCGACAGTGGCACTCCATCCATGCCAAGGCTCGTGACGGCCGTTGACCCAAGGATATCAGAGACAAAGGCCACTAACGTAATGTTGAATGCGTTAAGGGTGGTTCCGGGCGGTAGGTGCGTGACAAGGGTGCTCGATGATGACGCCCCTGACGACAACCTTGATATCCATTGTTCGCTGCTTGTTCCATAGAGCGGAAAGAGCAAAAGGAGATAATTCGCCGACGTCGTTCTGTGAGAGTAGTGCATGAATTGGCGTCCTCGAAAAGAGTTCAACCGGGCACTGCGGCTTGCCGACGTCAACGTAAAGCGAACCCCTAGTGTACCGCACACACAAACTCGCGCAGCGCCATGTGAGATAGAAAACTTTCAACGGTTGTGGCTGACAATTACTCAATCTGGAATTGCACGCGCCGGGATGCGCTACTTTGTCCACACGCAGCAAACGCGACACACAACCATATGAGAGAATGCCATACAACCGACCACATATTCGACATTGGGATTCTGCGAATTCACGGGGTCACCTATACACCGAAAGGACTTCATGCCATCCGTGCGTATAGCCGAACTCGTATGTCATCGGAAGATCCTCAAAGTCGTCCGTCCAACCCATAGTGTGAAGCACCACCGTGTCTTCTCCGGCGTACACCTGGAGTAGGTCCGAGCTGACGTATCCTCCCACGGGAGCAGCGTTGGTTTCGAAAGTAAACTCTGCATCATCGCAGAGAGGTTATCGTAGTACAATTATCGCAGATATTATCGCAGAGAGATAGTCGGCATCATAACATAATGGTGTTGGGTACTTCCTACCTTCAGTTTTGTAAGGCGAAGCGGACGATATGCTCATAATCAAGCATGAAGACTTCACACATTCGATCTTAAGGTGACTCCTTCACGTATTGCGCGGTCACGACCTCGGTTTGAGGGATGTTATTGACAGCTTTGCATCATTGTGGTGTGGATAGTTTACCAGAGTAGCCGGCGCTGCCAGACGATCCTGTCGCCGTCATTGAAAACGTGTACGTTCGACCTGGCGAAAGAGCCCCGGCTCGCACAACTAGAGTTGGGTGGCGATCGCTAGTGCGAAAAACTTGGTCGCTCCCGCTGGACGAATAGTCATTCCACTGCCCGATGTTGCTGTCAACCTGTCGTGGTGTGCAGACAGTGTACAGCGAAGCATCCAGAACGACTTGCGACTTCGCCGGACCTCAGCTCAGTACGGGAACGACGACTTGAGGGGCTATCAAGTCGGTTCTACTGTCAAGGGAGTTCGGCCATAGAGTTGATCTGCAAGGCGTTGGGTCGAAACCTCAAGTTTGTGTTGTCAAACCTGTTCCCACTCGAAGTCAAAGCCCGCCACAGTGCTGTTGCTGCAGTGAGACTCGGTGGATGTGGCCGCACACCCGTACAAGACCAACCTCTTCGAAGGGTTATATTTCCGGCGGATCTCCTGCGGAGCGATCGCGGACACAACAACCATGGCCTTATTTTCATGGAGATAAGCAACAACAAGGATCGCGAGAGATATTCGCCACCGATGGTGACCACCGTCAATTGTTGGTGTTTGGCGTTTAGGTGCTTGGAATTCTTCAGAGTCTTACCGGAATATGAACTCCATCGGCAACACCACCTACATCGCTTTTCAATCAACTGACGTACCTTCGGGGTAATGGAGACGTATGGAACATCAAGTACCGTCGTGGAGATGATGCACGATGCATTGTCGCTGCGGTACTTCGACCATGGCGTGCTGCCTCCGGCATGCTTGAATGCAGTGACCGTGAAGACATACTCAATACCTGCCATTAGGTACCAGGCGAGTCACTTGTCGGTGTTACATGAGCAATACGTCAACGGCTCTGGATTCAATGCCGCCGTGAGCGACCGCCTGATATTATTGACGGATTTTGATTTTCATAATTCTACCGGTTCCAACCTCACACAAGGATCCAGGTGAACCTTTAGCTCGCCGCTCACCAGATGGAAACGATTCCGGAGGGATGGAGAGAATAGCTCCTTCAACGAAAGCCGAAAGGTCCAATATGTCGCCCGCCCTCGAGACGCACGCACCCCCGGATTCATTCTCACAATGCCAGGTGTAGGCGAATGGAATAATGTCTATGCCATCCGCATCGACTGAAGCCGACGCATCCAGCTGCAGAGTCTGTCGGCCATTGCGGTGCCGTGATGGTTTGATGGCGGGCAAGGTAGTCGAAACATAGGTTGAAGTCATTTCTGCAAGAGAAAGCTAGTCCGTCGCTTTGGAGCTGACCATGGGCGGATAGCAGAGTATCGGATAAAACTGCGGTGCGACGCACACTTTCATAGTGTTTCGCACCCAAATCATATACAGTGTGAGGAGGGTGGGCTTTCTGGTATGTTCTTGCCTGTCCGATTCCGACGCTCCGCTTTGTTCCTCCGGATATAGCCGCGACTATTGGCCCACTGAGTATCTCGACTGCGGGGTTGGAGCGGATCAAGCACGTAGAAAAGTAAGATTAGAGTGCGACATGTTTCGATTTAGCAATAAAAATAGTGATTGTGACAACCCATTCAACGACCGTTTGTCATGTGCTACGCCTCCTTCCCAAACCGAGCTGCGGAGGGTGAAGGATGACATGAGGCAAAACGCTCCATTTCAATTCTTTTCGGAGATGTCTTCTGGCAGATTGCAAACATATGATCATGCGGCAACGATCCTAGCGTGATTTCTGACGTGGTCCCGACCATGCGTCTAAGCAACATGTCATTGTTTTCAGCCCTCTAATCAACTCTTCAACAGGGTACTTCTGGTGCGAAACATTGCCGATGACTGATATCACCTAATGC